TCTAATTAACAATTAGTGTGTAACCCGTCAAAATTATGACGATATTTTTCTGAAAGGATTTAGGCAAGCATCCTTACCTAAAATAATAAAAGCTCCAGTAATTCATAATCACCTGATATACAAAAAATGATTAATGAGACATTAGCAAAACAAAAATCTGATTCTGATACTGAGATAGAAAAATTAAGAAAGGAAGTTCAATCCCAAAAAGCACAGAAAACTCAGGTACTAGTTGAACTGGTTAAACAACCAAAAGGTCCCCCATTAAATTTAAAAACAGAAAAAGATTATGAAAATTATTATTTAGCGAAATTTTTTAACGATTTAGATATATATTATTTAGATTCAAATTATCCTGAAAAATCTTTTCAAAGATCTCATCCACAGCAAAAAGATAACTCTAAATTAGAGGAGAAAGTAGATGAAATTGGAAATATGTTATCTCGTCTTAATATAGACAATCAAACCCAAAAACCAATAGCCAAATCAAATCGAACACAACGATATTATCTCTTTCAACCAATAAATTATAGCGTTTCAGCTAATAAAGAAAATAATGGATATGATGAAGAAAAAGATATATGGTATGATTTATTGGGAAAAAAATGGATATTACCAGTAAATAAGTTATCTTCAGAAGAGTTGAAGACTCAATACTTCGCATTACCCAACCAGCCAAAAACATATAATAAATTATTTTCAAAGCTTTCACTGGTAATGCGAAAAATGTACCAGTCTCATACAGTTCAGAAGAAAGAATCAGATGAATGATTTTCATCTTTACAATATCTGAATGCTAAAATAGATAATATGTCAATCTCTAATTCTTTCTTAGATCCTGAAAGTGAGTTTGGAATCTTAAATAATGCAACAATTAATGCTTTGGGATGGAAAGCTGACAAGTCATCTAACTTTGATATAAAAGGTAACTCTAAACATATCACTAAAATATTAGGATGATTTATGAATATTCCAGTCAGTATAACAGATAAGGATGGTAAAACTGTCATATCTATTGGAAATTTCACACATATTGATGATAGTGAACCTGAATCAATATTATGTTTAGGTATGTCATGAATTCGAAAAGTTCAAGGTATTCCTGATCTGAATAAAAACCAATTCTGAATGAAGTTACATGGTAAGTCTTACATTATCCCAACTTTTAGCAAGGCTCCAGAAGCATTAGATCCACCAAAAGAGAAGCAAGATTCATCACCTCAAGTATTTACCATCTCATTTAGCTCAACTAGTGAGGAAGACTTAAAAAAAATGCGTAAATTGTGAAAAATATAATGAACTCGAAAAGTGACTCATAAAAACTGAAGAGTGGCTTGATATGGCTTTAAACGTAGGTAAAGTTCTTGCAGAAAGATGTTTTTAGCTTACTGAGACAAAGATGGGAATATAGGAGCTAATCTTTCGGTGTCTTTCATAAGGTTGCTTGCCGAAATCTCTTAGTGACTGTCTAAATTCTGTCAAAATTATAATAAACTATTAGTAAATAACCCGTCGAAATTCTGACGAATTTTGAAACCCGTCGTAACTGAAATTATGTCAAAATTCTAATTAACAATTAGTGTGTAACCCGTCGAAATTATGATGATATTTTTCTGAAAGAATTTAGGTAAGCATCCTTAGTCTTTCATTAATTTTTCAAGATCGTTTTTCCTTTTATATATATTATTGCTTTGCAGGCCCATAGGGGATGTTTCTTTGAGACATGGGACTTTGATCCTATCAGAAGAGACACTTTTTTTTACTGCACATGAGGAATTAGAATTTTGAAAAAGCTGAGCTTCGAGTCTTTGACTCATCTTTGGTTGTGTTATCTCTACTGATTTATTTAGTGAAACTTTAAAGTAAATCATATCATTTATATTAGATGAATTATTGTCAGAGGTAGACACATCATGGCTGAATATACTAGATTGTACTTGTACACTTTGTGCATTATGCAAAATATTTAAATTTTGATTAGAGTCATCATTATCATCGTGAGTAAAGATGGCGCGGCAACTGTTGCAATATGGTGACAAATAAAGCATCACCTAGTTGCAACTAGTTGCAGCTTATAAAATTTTGGAGTTGCAACGTGTTGCAACGGGTGACAAATAAGCGTCACGTACTTGCTGCACCATCTCTAATCTGTATTGCTATATTCAATTATGATATAGTTTTGTCATTGTTGATAAATATTTTTGCATAGTTATATATAGGATTGATTCATTTTTATTCTTTTAAAAGCAAGTTCTAGCATTTTCCAGCTGACTGAGTCATATGTGCTGTTACAGTCTGAAATTATCTCTAATTTCTTAATTTTAGTCATGTGATAAAATATAAATTGCAGAGATAGCAGAGTTCTCAGACATATTAATATTATTTGCTATATCATATTTATCTAATATGTATAACATATCTTATATTGTAATAACTTAATCATAAAAATATTTTATATAAATAAAGAACCTTTTGAATAAACCAAAAGACATTAATTGATCAATACAATATCTAGCTAGTCAATAAACTGCTTCTTGTTTATTGTTTAATAAAATTGTACATTAATTGATTTTCATAATTATTAATCTTGTTATAATACTTATTTTATATACTACTGGACACTCAACCAGATTGCTATAGAATATCAGTACTGTATTGCTATAAAACTATTATCACACTAAGTAAATATAAAGAAGATATTTATTAGTAGTAGTGTTATCTATTCTAGACTAATAAAATAGAAGAAGCCACACTGCATTGCAATTCTAAAGCAACTGGATCGAATCACTGAGTTAACGAAATAGATATTGGTTAAACACCTATATCACGAGATTATCTATCTGAGCCCAGGACTCGTGACAACGTTCACCTTCTCAAAGTGCATCTAAGAGTTTAAATGCTGGTTGGTGCTAAAATAAGTATTTTGTCATTAATTATTATTATTTTGCTAATGATTATTATTATTATTTTGATTTTGATATTAGTTGTTGTTATAATAATAATTATTATTATTATTGTGATATTGATTAGATCTATTATTATTATTATTGTAGTTATTGTTATGCTTGCTTTGACAATGAATAGTCATATGTTCAAGTTTTTCACAATTATAACAAGTTGGTGATTGAGTATTATTTCATAATTAGTTAAATACTCTTTTGTTAGGTATATTATTTTGTCGATTATTATTATTATTATTTATTGATAAAGTTTCCAATTGACTAGTAAGAGTGATTAATTGTTGTGAGAAGTCGTTTGTAGTTTATATAAACTACAAATGACTTAGATTAGACTATAATGGTCTCAGATATAACAATCATTTTGCATTTGCCTCGTCATTCGAGTGATGATTGGTTCACGAGTTCGTCATCACATTTAGATACCCATGATCTATAAAAAATATGATGATGAATTTGTGTTCACATCATCACACTTAGATACCTCACGATCTATAAAAAATATGACAATAATTTTATATTCACGTCATTACACTTGATCACTTTGATGGGTGATGGCTTTTATACTCTTTACATATCATTGGTAGTAACAAGATTCTTGATTGCAGATTTATGAATAGATATAATATTCTTTAATTTGTCTTCAGACTCAGAATTGTAATTTTTCTCTAGCTTTTCTATATAAGCTTTGAAATCCTTTCCAATCTCCTGTATTAAGAGTTTATTAATAGCTTGATCTGGCTTAAAGTTGCAGTCTGTCTCCTCAATATTTTGCGTTATAATTTTATTAATAGTTTGAGTTAGCATGCTCTTGTGTTCTTGCATTGTTGTCATTTATATACTGCATAGAATTTTTAATAAAAAAATTAATGCAATCGGAACATGCTATATACATGATATCTGATTATGCTATTGGACTATGCTATCGAATACATTATATTAAAGTATGCTGATTTTAATTGCTGAATTGTTATTCCTATTTGATAACCCACTAAAATTTCTGATGATGAGACACGTAGTGCTGAATTATTAACAATTGTTAGCTTCACATAATTTATTTGAATATTACTTGAGAATGAGACACATAGTGCTGAATTGCTAACTATTATAATGCACTCAAGTATCGATCAAGAATGAGGCACATAGTACTGAATTGTTAACATATCTGGTAATATCCAAAGTATCCGATAATGAGGCACATAGTACTGAATTGTTATCCCTATTTGGTGATACGTAAAAGCATCCGATAATGAGACACATAGTGTTAAATTGTTATCATATCTGATAATACACCAAAGCATCCGATGATGAGGCACGTAGTGCCAAATTGTTAATATATCTGTTGATATCCCAAAGCATAATTTTATATATTATATATCTTTCTGTAATAATTATACCTTGGGATATCACTTTTTTTCGATACCTATTTATATGTAATCCCAAAGCATAATCTTATATATATCTATATTTCTATAATAATTATACCTTGGGATAACATCTTTTTTCAGCCTTTAGCTAGCTTATACTGATATCTAAATCATATTTTTTATATATTTTGAGATATCATTATATTGAAAACTTTGGAATAACACTATAGAAAACTTTGAAATAATACTATATCGAAAACTTTGAGATAACACTATAGAAAATCTTGGAATAATACTATATCAAAAACTTTGAGATATCATTATCAAACGTGTATCAAAAAATGTGAACACTATTTATAATCAGAAAATAAAATCTGAGGTATCACTTTTTGATACCTTAAAGTATCATTTTTATTGATATCTAAATTAGGCAACATGAAAATGATTATCGAATATGTACCTTATATATCAGAAGTACTTACCTGAAATTTATCTTAATCTAAATCGCGCGACACAAAAATTCTGTTCACTCACAAGTTCGTGTTCAGATATGTATAACTAATTTGTTTATTATATATATTATCTTATTTTTGTGGAACAATGACACTTACGTACCTAAGCAGATACTGTGAAAAGACGAGATATCGAATATTAATTTTTGATTTGAATTTTTCTGTATACTTATTGTAAGAGATGACAAAAACTCTCTACCTGAGATAAATAACTAGTTAAATGTAGCAATCTTTCTGCTTCAGAAATTACTACTAAAACTAAATGATATTATTTTAGTGTTACAGTGATTCTGGATAGTGGTAGGGTTCTGAAAAAAAGTCTGGTTCAGTTCGAGTCCAGTTCGAGCTTGAACCGGACTTGAATCTAACAAAAAATCCAGTTCGAAAATTTGAATCTAATTAAAAGTCTGGTTCGAGTTCAGTTCGAATTTCAAACCAGACTCGAACCTGACCAAAAGTTCGGTTCGAGTTCAAGTAAATGTTTGTTGATGTTCTAAGTAAAGTTGTAGA